ACTGGTGAGAAACTTTCTCCCAATAAATAATGTTGTAACCTGATATATTGTACTGCAGAGGTTCTTACTCCGTTGTGTGTTTTCTATTTTCAAACTGACTTTGATATCATTTAGTTCATGCCCCTCCAGATGGTTTTGAGTGAAGCGATATTAAACTCAGTTAAAAAAAAAAACAATAGAATAAGAACCTCTGCAGTACAAGAGGCCAGGGTTGCAACATTATTTATTGGGAGAAAGTTTCTCACCAGTGTCTGTAAAATATGAACATTTCATTTACATCACTCATATTTCTAGATATTCGTGTGAACCAGTAATTCTTTGGGAGGGAGCAGTATGCGAGGGCTGGTGTATGACAGCATACTTTCTTACCGACAGAGCAGGTGGTAAGATAGCATACCCTCTTACCCACAGAGCTCTCGGCACTAGCGGCAGCTATTTTTTTAAAAATAGCGTGTCCGCTAGATGGCGGTAGCAGTGATGTTTCAAGACGTAACGGTGGCTATGTTGCCCGCTAATAGCATTGAGTTACCACCCCCTGATCTGTGGTGTTATCTGTAGAGGATATGTAAGCCAAGATAGAAGTGGTGGGGGCCGAGTTTGGTTATGTTAAATTGACCGAAGATTACAGGATTTTAAGTAATTAATAATATTCGGTAATATTTACGTACGTTGAGGTAGTGTGATATGTTTGTGATTTAAAAGCTTAATGTGTATACTGCGATGATATTTATATGAATTTGTTCTGTAAGCAGGAGATCAGGGTAATTGACAAATATTGCTCATCATACATCTTCGTGAATATATAAATTTGAATTATATAGACGATATAGACTCTTATTAGAAGTGCAGCCGCAGTTCTGCAGTTGGGGTGTGGTTGAACGTGTCTGTGCTTGAGCTATGAGGTGGTTGTAAACGTAAGCCCGTCATTGTGACCGAAAGAATTAACAGACACACAGTTGGTGTGCTGTGGAATGAAACACATATATAATGTGATGACAAAGCTATAGATGTTGATTTTATGTGTAAAATAATGAATACTTTTTTTATTTGTTTCATTCTGGTCCGTCACACTAATATTATGAAAAAGTTAAAATGGTTCCGTAAAAACAACACAGCGGGCCACAAACAGATACAGGACAACATTGAAGAATCCGCTTCTCGAGAACGACAAGGTGGCATACATTCGACCCCCGTCAAAAGAAATAGTGAGAGGGACGACACAAACCAGCTTGGTTTACGATTCCAATAGAATCTTAAACTATCTAAAAATGTTTTAATGTATTGGAACAGCCGCTGTAGTTGTAAAGACTTTAGATATTACAACCAATTGTATATTATTTATATTGTATGTATATATTTTAACTTTTAGAAGATTTACTGTAATGGTGGCTTCTAACAGTATTGATGTAAAGGTGTCCATCTGAAGATGGTCACTGAAGACCGAAACATGTAAGGGCATGAATAATTGAAATAAGAACATCTTAACTAGTCACACTGGATGGAACTATTTAACTTTTTCATAATGAACACTCTTATATTCGTGTTAGAAATTGAGAGTTTGAAGTATGCCATTGAAGAGAGAGGGAAGGACTTCCTAGAAATGTTATGCAGGTTTAAATGATTCATTATTTGTTAGAAGGAAAGATTAATACTATTATAGGTATTTATGAAACAACACTTCACAGTATAGATTAGTTTGTATTTGGTTCATGAAATTTGGTGTTGTAGGAGAGTTTAAAAGTAGGTACAAATTTTGTGTTGAACACTTCTCTGTATTGGTAAGTATGAGCTTGGTTACAGTGAACCGTAAGTAATGAAGCTTCACTGTTTGAATTACTTTTTCTGCAAATAATTTTGCAGTATGAAAGTTCATGTTGATTCCCATCATTTCTCCATGGCTTGCACAGTCTTTTGAGTGGTTTGTAGCCATATTTTATTAATTGTTGAGCAGAGTGTTAACACTTTTTTTAATGATGAAACTGATGCATGAATCAGGTTTTGAGGAAGATCAGCATTATCATTTTATGAGATGATTGTCCTTGACATTTGTTATTGTGCTTGAATATTTTTGTTCCACTTTGTTTCCAGTTCTTCTAGAACCAATATTTGATCCCTGCTAATAATCTGGTATAGATAACTGCATTTTATAAAAGCTGTACTGGCATCAAAGAAAGAAGGAAAGGTAATTGGTCATAAATGTGTAAATTTATTAATACGGAAATAATGAAACGCTCGGAATCACAATGTCAGTGTTGTGTAGGATTGAAGTTGCAAGTGAGTAAGATCAAAATGGAATTGGAATCTGCCCTAAAAATTATAGAAATTTTGAAAGAAGAGCTGGGCAGTGCGGTCGCGTTGTCTAGTGCTAATAAAAATGTCATATGAAATAATGAAAATGGATCTCAAATATCTCCAAGTGAAAAAAAAACTGGATCCATATACAAAGAAATCAAAAAAAGAAGATAACAGATAAGTTAAAAGACCATGAGGAAACATATGTAACAACAAGTAATCATTTTGAAATTTTATCTAACCTCAATGAGATTATTAAGTCTACTGAAGCAGCAAAAGAAGAAATTCTCAAACCAAGTAAAACTGTACAAAATAATATCGACAAAAGTAATTTTCAAGCAAGAGACAGTAAATACAAGGCTGATGCAGAAGGACAGATGATTAATAACATTTCAGTGATAATAAGTGGTCTAGTAACATCTAATAACAGTAAAGTTCTGAACAGTGACATCTTACATTCATATGAGAGTGCTGAAACCGTTGAGGCTAATGCAAGGAATGAGAAAGAGGCTCCCAAGGAGAAAGTTGCTGATTCAGCAGCAAGAGCTTCAAAGAACAAAGGAAACCACACTATATTAATTATTGGAGACAGCCATGTAAAGAGATGTGCAAGTAAACAGAGAAAATCTTGATAAAACTTATAAGGTAATTGGAGTTATAAAACCAGGAGCTGATTTATTTACCCTAAGTAATTCTGTAAAAGATACTATTTTAACCGTAGGAAAAAATGATCATCTTGTATTTAGTAGAGGTGCAAACAGTATCTCAAAAAATAATTCTAAAATGGGACTAAGACACATTTTAAACTTTGTAAGTAACAATACTCATACTAATATTATTCTGTTAGGTATGCCACATAGACACAACCTGGCAGATTGGTCTTGCATAAATAATGAGATAAATGCCTTTGATAGGAAACTGTTTAAAATCATGAAATGTCACAGTAATGAACTGTGACTTAGACACTTCTTTATAAGACCAGGTATGCATCTGAAGAGGAGAAGAAAAGAAGATATGCTTAAACATATAGCAGCAACCTGTGTGACAATTTGTCAATCTAATAAAAATTTCATCCCAATTTGCTTGCTCTGGAAGGAATCTGAAAGTTATAATGCAAATCTACAAGCTAACAAGTTTCCAGCTATGAATGACTCAGTAAAAACGACAGAGCAAAAAAAAATGAACCTGTACGGAAATCAAATGGACTAAAAAACTACCAGGTATGAAAAATAAGGATTTGTTATGGTAAATACAAGTGCTCCAAAAAGAAATATTTTCTTAAACGGAGTAACCAAAAAAGAAAATGATATCAAATTCTTTAATATTTGCCATCAGAACATTAGAGGTTTAAGGGGGAAAACAAATGAGCTATTAAGTCATGTACACCCAGCCTCCCCACACATATTTTGTTTTACAGAATATCACATGAATTTCTTGGAATTGCAACAGCTGTACATAGATTCTTATAAACTAGGAGCAAACTATTGTAGAACCTTGTATGAAAAAGGAGGAGTATGCATCTATCTATGCACAAGCTTGAATTTTGTAAGAATAGACCTAAAAAGTATTGTAAAGAAAAAGATTTTGAGGTATGTGCTGTTAAGTTAAACCTGAGCTCCAACAGACTTTGTATAATTACAATATATTGAGCTCTGACTGGAAACATTAATACATTCATAACAAAACTAGATTCAGTACTTAGAAACCTATATACCTCAACACAAGAATATATTATTTGTGGGGATATTAATATAAATTGCCTTCTTGATAGTGAAAAGAAAAAAAAATTAGATACCTTACTGAGAACTTATAATTTAATAAGTACAATAAATTTTCCCACCAGAGTTCAAGGAAATTCTGCTACAGCCATTGATAATATTTTCATCGATATTACTAGAAGGGAAAATTATTCTGTAAGGCCTATAATAAATGGATTGTCTGATCATGATGCACAATCCATAACATTTTAAAACAATAAACATGAGAACACATGCTAAACAATTCAAAATAATAAGGAAAATAAACAAACATATAATAAATTACTTTTTAATTAACCTAAGTTATGAAACATGGGACTCACCATTTTCTAGTGATGATGTTAATATAATGTTTTAACTCCTTTTTAGACACTTAATTGAAAATTTACTATTCCAGTTCTCCCCCCCCCCCAAAAAAAATTAAAATTTCAAATAAAATAAGTGATGAATTACTATAGGAATAATAATCTCCTGTAAACATAAAAGAATACTCTATATGGCCTGTAGAAACAGTAATAATTCAGAATTAAGAAGCTATTATAAACAATACTGTAAAATTTTATCTAAGGTCATTAAGGAAGCTAAAAAACTATAATATGATAACAAAATTTAAAAATTCCAAAAATAAAAATAAAACCACATGGGATAAAGTAAAATTAGAAACTAATAAGGGGCCAAATAATGAAAAAATATGCACATTAAAGGTAGTGGAAAATGGATTAGAGAAAAGCAAGTAATTGCAGAAACCTTTAACAATTACCTTTTATCTGTAGCTGAAAATAAAAATGCAAAAAATAAAATAATACTAATGTTAGTTACCTTCCCGACACTACTCCCATTCAGCATTTAATGAAAACTTTTATAAATCCTTTCCACATATTAAACTTAAATCTTTATCAACTAAGGAAGTTGAAAATATAATTAAATCTCTCAAAGCAATAAACTCTTATGGATATGATGAAATCTCCACTAAAGTATTAAGAATGGGTTCCCTTTTCATTAGCTCTCCTTTGACTCACATATGCAACAATTCATTATCACAAGGAATTTTCCCAGATCGTTTAAAATACTCAGAAATAAGACCGCTTTTTAAAAGTGGTGAAAAAACAAATATTTCCAACTATAGGCCTATATCACTTTTA